TCAGCGAGACAGAGCCTCCCTGGGGGGCCGGTGGGGACAGGGCCCAGCCCCAGAGGTGACAATTCAGCTTTTGTTTCCTTTGTGCAGAGGCCAGAGCGGGGGCCAGGCTTCACTGCCACACAAAGGCATCTCTTGGTGGGGTTTGGTCCCTTTGTCCCTGCTGTCGGGCTGGGGCTGGGGCTGGGGCTGGAGGCGGGTCTCGCTGGTGTTTGGAGGCTCCCCTCTCTCTCACTCTGCTGGAGGGTGTGGCAGAGGGATGGGGCACCGGAGCTCTGCTGGTGTCAGGGTCAGGGAACTGTGACTTGAGTTCACAGGGTGAGGAGCAGCATGTTCCTTGGTAGGGACCTAGACCCTGTCTTGCACTGCCAGGGAATCCTGGGGGCTGGCAGAGCCTGTCGAGCCTCAGCAGCTCCTGCCTGGCACCCTACTGAGGTCCTACTGTTCTCACTGTTGTGAGCACTGGGGGAATGCCAGCAGATTGCTGCCTTACCAGGGGGTACAGAGATCCCTGCTGGGGGTGCTTCCTAAGAGTGGGCAGGAGAAGCTGGGCAGCCTGGGTTAACCCTATCTAGCTTCCAGGGGGAGGAGAGGGTTGCTGGTGCTCTCCTGGGCCCAGGAGCCCCCCAGTAACCCCTGGTCCATGCACGCTTACGGTGGAGCCCAGGAAGGCTCTGGAACAAACCTGTGAACATCATACAGAGCTGTTGCTGAGGGCAGCTGAGATGGACACAGGCTGCACTGCTGCAGTCACACTGCCATTCTGGGGCCATTTCCATTTTGTTTGTTTTACTCCATGTGAGTTCGTGTGTGTATGTAGAAATATATACATATGTGCATATGAAATACATATTCTCCTTGGGAGGCAGAACCAGTCCGGGAAGCTCCCATTTGGTGCCTGAGGCTGTAGGGCACTGGGTGAAGGGGACTTGGGACATCCCTGCCCACAGGGTCAAAGGTGTGTGCTCAGACAGGGATTGCTGCCCATGGGCTGCTGCATGCCCATCACTGCCCCTCTGTGCAGGTACAGGAAGGCTGCGCTGAAATGGCACCCGGATAAAAACCCAGACAACAAGGAGTATGCTGAGCAGAGGTTCAAGGAGATCGCTGAGGCATATGAAGTGCTGTCAGACAGTAAGAGGCCGTGGTGATGTCTCGTGTGTGTGTCCCCACCCTTGGGGCTGTTCACCCTGGGGTGTCCTGCTGCTGAGCGTACCCAGGTTGCATCCCTGAATCTACCCAGGAGGTAGTGGGTCCCTGCAGTTTTACCACGTGGCTTGTGGGGCTTGGATACTTCCCCATACATCCCCTGAAATGGTTCTTGGGAGAGATGCTGGGATGCTGCCCTCCATGGTGGGATCTCCCCAGTGGGGCTAAGGCTTGAGCATCCTTGCCCAGTGCTCTTACTTGGATTTGGGTGCAGTGCTGGTGTGGCAGGGGCTCATGCCATGCCCCTCCTCTTGGTCCCTGCTGTTCTGCACCTCCCTTAGTCGGGAGAAGTGTCAGTGGTCCTGCCCATGCCTGCCAGCCAGCTTTCCCACAGCCCCCTTTCTTCTTCCAGAGCAGAAGCGTGATGTCTATGACCGCTATGGCAAGGATGGACTCATGGGAGCAGGTGAGTGGGTAAGCAGAGCCATGGGGGTTAGTGCAGCTCTGCATACATCCCTGCTTGAAGACCCTGTGTGGGTGTGTGCCCCAAGGGCTCTCTGCCCTCTGGGGGAGTTTTCACCCAGGGCTCCACTTAACTCTGAGTCTTTTCCCTTTGGCAGGACCAGGGGGCTCCAGAGCCAATGCCGGTGCCCCCGAATTCACCTTCACCTTCCGCAGTGCTCACGACGTCTTCCGGGAGTTCTTTGGCGGGCGAGACCCCTTTGCTGAATTCTTTGGTGTGTGTGGGACAGTGGGGGTTGGCTGTGGGGCATCCCTCTAGCCCCAGGGCAGCCACTGGGCTTGGGAACAGACCTCATGGCTGGCCCCAGCTGGGACTCCCCACATCAGTGCCCTGCTCCTGGCTCACCAAGCTGCAGGGGTAATGCTGATGGGGAACCCTGCCTTTCAGATGAGGTGCTGCCTTTCTCTGAGCTGCGAGGACCAGGTCCCCGGCACCATGGGGGAGGCCACTTCTTTACCCCATTCCCAGGATCCTCAGGTAGGACACATTGCCAGCACCTACCTAATAGGGGTGTCGTGGTACACCATGTGCCTCTCTGCCTTCCTTGTGCCCTCCAACCTAGCACCAACCTTGTCACTCTCTTCAGATTTCTTCGCCTCATCCTTCAGCTCTGGCACGGATGCAGGGCTGGGCTTCCGCTCCGTCTCCACCTCCACCACCTTTGTTAACGGCAGGCGCATCACCACCAAGCGGTGAGGACAGTGCTGGTCCACCTTGCCCCTGTGGACCCTCCCTTAATTGGTGGCCTCGAACCCTGCAGCTTTCTGCTGCAATGCTCTGGCTGCCTGGGCCTTGACTGTCCATCCGTCTGTCTGTCTGCAGAATTATTGAGAATGGGCGGGAGCGCGTGGAAGTGGAGGAGGATGGGGAGCTGAAGTCCATCCACATTGATGGTGAGAAGTAGCACTGCAGACTTGTGGTCTGCGCCCTTTTCCCTTTGGGGACCCCTCTCCTCCTTTGGCTTGTCTGGAGGGTGCTGCATGCATCCAGGATTGGTTTTGGACTGAGCCCTGGTTTGGAGCTCTGCTCTGAAGGATTGGTGGAGTGGGTAGGAGTTGCCAGGGCCCCATACCAGCTTGGGGAGCTGGAGTGGATGAGACCCCCAACTCCTGCCCCTGTCCCCACAGGTGTCCCTGATGACATGGCACTGGGTCTGGAGCTGAGCCGGCGGGAGCAGCAAGCCTTCCCCACCCAACGGCCCCCTTCACCCCCCCCACGTGCTGCACACCAGCCCCCAAGCTCCTCGCCCGTC